ACTAGTTGCAATCTTCCTCAGCTTGGCCTACCTCGCAGGAACACTGTAAGGATAAGATAGGGAAGAGGAAAAGACAATGTAATTTTAAAAAAACGTGCTGCTGACATACCGCCCCCCCCCCGCTGCCACCTGAGGCAGGGACGGTTCTTGACATCATCCCAAGTCATATTGTGTCAACTATGGTGACAGGGTGTGGAAAGGGTAGCGCCCATTCATTCAGCTAAAAGAGGAAAGTGCTGAAAGTGACAGCCATAGAATGTTGTCAAACAGTACGTGTCTCCCAGGCGCGAAAGGTTACCCCCAAGATGGGGCTGCAGCGTCACCTTTTCAGGGTTTCAGGACTGTTTGTGTGGGTGGGGATGTCAGGATGAGAGACTGGAATCGCTGAGCCCATGGGTCCGCTGAGCATTTTTGCGATGGCCTTTCGCCCCCACAGGGTTGACAAAGGTCAGGGCCATTGTGTGGGCACAAAAGGCAGGCGCTGAGCGCTAGGGTGAGTCAGACCAGGTCACGTCAACGGACAAACCGCGAATACATACAAACCTCTTTCTCTCTCTCTCTCTCTCTTTCCTTCTGTTCCTGTGTCTTGGCTTTCGCAAAGAAGACCCTCGTGACCTACTACGGTAAAAAAAACAGGATTTCACCCATCTAGTTACAAGTTATCTGTGACAAATTACTTGAAATTAGGAAAATATACATTTTGGAAAGCCAGAGCCGGTGGGCACTAGAAAACTGGGTGCTGAAGTTAAAAAAAAAGAAAATGAACTTTTCTAACCTCCGATCAGTCTTTAATCGCTTTAAGATTCTTGCGGTAACTTATAAAGGCTGACACATTCTACTGAAACGGAGGATGCAACAAAGTTCCATTCCAAAAGTAATTGACGTGGGAATGGGACTACTTAGGGTTGGTGTAACTAACAATGTGTTATAGTTACTTTTCAGGAAGTTCCTTTTTAAAGCCATCGTTAAGGCACTGAATTTCCCAGGTTTACACCATTCTTTTGTCATTTTTAAGTCACAAAAAGAAACTAAAACTAACAGAAGAAATGTCATCCAGAGTTGCTTTCTAAACACTGTAATGAGGGAGACCAAATTATTTGTTTAAAATGCTCCCATGAGTAACAGGAATAATTGTTTTTTTTTTAAAGTAAACAGCAGAATTTTTACTGTTACAAAATAAAAATACATTTAAATGGCCTTTTAGTTGACTTTAAATCAGCCAAGTGCTGGTGCGATGATGTTTTTTCGTTTTATATTTCTCTCCCTTTACGTACTTGGGTCCGGGTCCAGCGACCTTCCCAGGGCTCAGATTTGGCCCACGAGCATCCTTGAGGTCCATTCCCCCCCCCGCCCAAACCATCAGCGTAACTTTTATTTTTTAAATTGGCTTGTAAATTCCTTTTATCGTTTCTATCAAGGAAGGCGGCTTTAACCCTGACACTGCCTCAGAGGAGCCACCGGTCTTTCTACTTTTCCCCACCAGAGAGAGCCAGAACACCATCCAGCCTCCAGCCTCCCTTGGCTGGGAAATCTCTCTCTCTCTCTCTCTCTCTCTAGGTAGGTATACACACACATACCTGTCGGTCTCTTACTTTCTAATTACAGAGTTTCTGTACTTCTCTCTCGATCCTCAGGCGTGTCTCCCTTTGTCTAGGTGCACAATTTAACCATCTGTCTACTTATCTACCTGTTTAATTATACATTTTCCCTCGCTGTCTTGTCCGACCTATAGGTCTGCCCTTCTCCTCTATATGTGCACACACGCCTCTCTGATTCCCATCATTCCTGAATCTCTCTCTCCCTCTGTGCATTTCTTCCTCCCTCAAGGTGCACCTCTGTGCCTCTCACCTGCTAGAGACAGACACCAAAAACTCTAATAAATGACTCCCAAAAAATGCACGGATGTTTAGCAAGAGAGGCAAGCATGGGGACAGGGTGGTATGGGGTGTGTGTGGCCCCTCCAGGTCCTGGGGTGGGGAAAAAAACCCTCCGCGTTCTGTCCGTCTTTCTGTCCAGCGCTTCTCTCAGGGGTGGGGCCAGGGCAAGGCAGGGTGGGGGCTTCCTTCAGGGATCGATCCCATGGCACCTCGACCCCTCCTGCACCCACCAAGGTGGAGAGGAGAGAGAGAGAGAGCGTGAAGTGCAGGACCGCCTGAGGGCACCGCTCCGCCCCCTCCGCTATGCCTTCCTCATCGCCCCCGCCCCACGCTGGAAGGGCAGGAAGGGCTTTTCGGATTTACCGAAGATAAATGTCTTTGCCACAAAATTTACGGCCCGGTGGTGAGACCGTCAAGGCCCCCCCCTGTACTGCTGGCTACCCAGCCGCCACCGGCTTGTAAAACCTGCCTGGGTGACAAGGGATAAATCAAAATGGGGTGTGTGTGTGGGGGGGTCCCAATCCTGGTCTTTTCCAGCCCTAGCTGCTGATACTGGGCCTCCAGTCAGGGTTTGGAGAAGTTACTTTTTTTTTGACTACAAGTCCCAGAATCCAGGGGTTCTGGAACTGGTCATTCCCCCCCCAAAAAAAGTTCCCCCCCCCCAAAGCTGCATGTTAGGTTCAGGGTAGACTTTTCTCGTTTAACCTCCCCCAACAATAATAAGCACCTTGTCGCCTTCCTGAGGAAAATTATGTGGCTTTTAAATGACCGCCGGGGCCTCCCTTCCTCCGAAGGCAAGTCTCTGCGAGGTGAATCTCTCCCTGCTCTGCAGCTCTCCCCGCCCCACAAGACAGCCCCCCCCCAAGCAGGGTGAAATTCAGGCCTGGCCGAAGAACCCGGCAGGTGAGCGCCGGAAAAGGGGTGTGGGGTGGGGAGCAAAAGCCCTTCTAACCCACGCCTGCCTTTGAAGTCCGGTCTTCCATCGGCCTCTTTCCCTGGGGGGTTTTTCCCCTCGGCTGATTTATGGGGTGCAGGGACCCCGATTAGCCCCGGCTTCAAAAGGCGCCCCGGGAAGCAGGAAACAAATAAGGCAGAGATTCATGGCGGTAAAGGGACCCCAAGCGGGGAGGACAGAAAGACCGAGAAACTTCCCCTGGGTTTTTAAAAATACATTTTTAGTCTAATGCGCAATCATTTTGGGCGGCGTGGTACAATGGTTAATGTATCAGAGAGGGACCTTGGGAGATCCAGGTTCAAGTCATGACATCCCCCTTCATGGCTGTACAGCTGTATGCACTTATCTGGGAGAAAAGTCGATGGAACTTACTGGGGCTTGCTCGGGAGTAAGCTTGCCTTGAGATGCAGGTGGTATGTAAGTGGAAAGGGTTGCTGTTCAAATGTCCTGCTGAAAGAGGATGTTTTTCCTCCTTCGTTCCTGCAAATAAAATGGGAGATGAGTGTGAAACACTTGTGCACTGACACACCACACTTGTGAAAGATATTTCATGGCTATCCTATTTGGTTGCTTCTTCCTCTTGTTTTCCCACCAATGCGCCAGAGGTGACAAACAAGCCCAAGGGTGGCTTTAGAAACTGGCCAACCTCACCCTATTCATGGGGCGGCGAGTTCCAGAGGTTCACAACACACAGTGTGGAGAAGAACCTCTCTTTCAGACACCGTGCTTCTGTCGTCTTCTTGCATTTTCGCGGAGAGAGAAGAACATTAGTTGTTTATTTGCAAAGCCTTGAATAAAGAACATTTCTATTAGCGGCCCAGACATTTGCACGCAGCCGGGGTTTCTGTGCTCAGAGGCAGAATAATAAAATCAAAGACCTGGAGACTTGGAAGGTCATCCAGTCCAACCCTACGGCTTGTGCAGAAAACCTCCACCCTTGCCAGAGGACCACCCGTGCTTAGCCTAAAAACAGAGGCAGGTTTACAATGTCCGTTTTGTTCCCCTGCCGATAAACACGCAACAGAAGGGCCTTTCTGTTTTTTGGGTGGAGGCTGAAGCCGGGAGCCCTCAGCAAATCCCTTTCGGCTCAAGGGCGGCTTTGTGACCCCCAACTCTCTCTCTGGTCGAAAATAAGGGCAGTGACCGAGAATGAACTAGCAACCCCAGGGTCCCTGGTTTCCTGGTCCTGCTCCTCCTTGCTGTCCATTTCTTCACCCATCCCCGCAAAAAACTGTCCCTTTTGAATTCCCACCTGCTTTATTCTCATGACCACCCTGTGAGGTTGGGCAGACTGACAGGGAGAGCACATGAGGGCCCCCCAAGTTCAAGCAGGAAGTTCCAAGATTCAGTGAGAATGAATACCTTGATCTCTCAAATCTGGATCAAACTACTACACCGGAGGCTTCTTGCGTTCTCTGGCGGCCTGGAGGACTCGGTCCGTTCTTCAGTACAGAGGATTGCCATGACATCCTCCCCATCCAGATCCCTAAGAGGAACTGCGAAAGAAACTGCCCTGGCCCCTTGTTTTGGGAGACAACTAGGAACTATTGGGAACGGTTATTGTTTCCATCAGAAGGCAGGTCTTTTGTAAGGCCAGCGGCTCTCAGTGGCTGTGGGTAGGCGTGGGCATGATATTCCGGCTTAACTGATTAATCCATTCTGCACAGCCCCGCCCCCCAGCCAAAATGGCTTCATAGACTGCTTAACAAAAGCAACAAAGACCTGCTTTTGGACCCGTGGAAGTTTTGTTCCGCCGTGCCTCGAGGTTTCCACGCGTCGGCTCCTGGCTTTGCATCTCTCTCTTCCCCTCTGCGAAGTCTGGGGGGGGGCTCCCCCTTGCTTCAAGGCAGGGATGAAAGCTGAGAAGCTCAGGAGGGGAGCTCGCCACCCCGTAATTGCGGCCGCTGTCACTCAAAGGAAGGAGCGTCCCTCAAACGTTTGTGCCACGGCAGCGCGTTGCCCAGGAGGTGATGGGGAGGAAAGCCTGGGCGGATTTGTCTGGACAGGATGCTTCCTGTGGACAGTGGGCACCTCCTTGAGTGCAGGATACCTGGAGGGCTGTCATAAAAAAGAAGACCAAGAAGAGGAATTGACCGGGTGCAATTAAAGCACAGCCTTGAGGGGTTTGGAGGAGGAGGAGGAGGAAGCCGACAGCTCCTGTTGGAGTCGTCCGGCGCAGCTCTGCGCAAAAGGCACATCGGATCCTCTGGGAGCTCCTTGTCCGAGCCATGCCCAGCGCCGCTCCGAGTCCCAGGGAGATGCCCAGCCCTTGGGGAGACGACCTGCCAGGGGCAGCCATGCAGACGGCGTGCTTTCCGCCGCCTCGCCAAAGAGATGCCGGGAGCTTCCCGGAGGAGCCCGAACGGAGGCGCAAAGCCAGGCCCGTGCGCTCCAAGGCCCGGCGCATGGCCGCCAATGTGCGGGAGCGCAAGCGCATCCTGGATTACAACCAAGCTTTCAACGCCCTCCGCCTGACCCTCAAGCACGATCTGGGGGGCAAGAGGCTCTCCAAGATCGCCACCCTGCGCCGGGCCATCCACCGCATCGCCAGCCTCTCCTGCTCCCTGAGGATTCCTAGGCCCACGCCCAAGGGGTCCTGCACCCACCCAGAATGCCACGAGGCGTGGGGTGAGCCTGGAGCCAGGAGTCACCAGCTGGGGCTTTTCCAGCCACCGCCAGAGTCCGGCTATCTGACTACGGCTCTCTTTCAGCCTTCTTCTGCTCTGTCTCTGGCCGGAGGTCCCGAAGAGGGCGAGGAAGTACCGAACCCCACCTGTTACCTGAGTCATCATCGCCTCCTCCCGAGTCCCGCTGCCTGTCAGCAAAGACGTGGACCTGACACTCCAACTGGCCCTACGGGGCCTTTTCCATGGGAATACAGATTTTTCTAAGAGACCGGATCTCAGGACCTCGTGGGAGTCTCTCTCCTCTGTCATTGCGACGGAGGAAGGCGGCAGACGCCTTTGACCTGAGCTTGGGGTCCGGCCTGTTTCCCGACACAAATCTTGCCAGGATGTAAAGGAAAATCATCCTTGTGGGTTTTTCAGATATTTTCCCAAGAGGCATCCAAAAATTCCTCTTCCCCTCAGCTGGTTTGTAAAAGGTACCTAAAGCAGTGTGGGGCAGCGGGGACTTGGCAGAATTAGACTCAAGTCAGAATGAAACTTAAAACTCCTTCTGAAGCTTCGATGGTTCAACAGGCCCCCTTCCTTCTGTGGGTCTCCTCTAGATGGAACAAAGGCGCGGATTTAACTCCGGGTCTTTGTAAAGGTGGTGGTGCTGATCCTGAAAGCAAAGGTTCAGATTAAGGTCTGATTTTTAATCCCATAGGAATTGTTGACAACCCAGCCAGGACGACGCCTTTTTAAAAAATGTGTCAAGGAAAATTCTGAAGAACTCTGAAACTTGCTCGTTGTTTTGTGACCTTTGGGCGAGTTCTAATAAAAATATTCCGCAGAAGGAGTTCTGGTTTTGCACTTTTCTCTTACCTTCCTGATGGGCCAATGAGGACCGCTTCGGTTTTAGGATGTGCATCACGGGGCCGGCCGGCTCTTGCGTGGCTGCCTGAGACCACAGGATGAATGAACAGGTAGCTTAATTGTTAATCAGCTGCTTTGATGTCACATTCCCAAACTCTCTGAATTTTCGGACCACAGCTCTCAGAATCCACAGGCCATGCTGTCCGGGGATTCTGGGAGTTGTAATCCGACAGTTAAGATCTCTTGAGCTCTGGTTTACATTGACAGACACGGAGAGAGGTGTTTCTAGGCTATTAGTCCTTATAGGGGCAAATAGCAGGGCTGTCACAAGCATCTCTGTGGCTTAATCTGGGTCTGGGTGTGTGTGTGTGTGTGTGTGTGTGAAAAGGCCAGGTCCTGCTTCGCCTCAGGTGGCGAAATGTCTCGGGGCAGCCTCAGGTTATGAAATTTGGGTCTTAAATGCAAAATGGGCAAGAACGAGGAAAAAAGGTTACGACTTTTGAAGCTTGGATGGAAGGAAGGGGAGGTGCAGAAAACACCGTTTGTCTTTGGTCTAGCAAAATACATTGTCTAGGTTGGCAGAAGACGGAGGTTCTACAACCACGAGGCAAATAACATTCTGCACATGCTCAGAAGCCCTTTCGTTTCACAGAGTTTGGTGCTCATACCCTAACATGGGGTGATGCTCCAAACAACTGGATTTATTTATTTACTTACTTTACAGTGGACCCTTGACTTACAGACGGCTTGACTTACAGACTTTTTGAGTTACAGACTTCTCTGGCCGCTAACATGGGGTGATGCTCCAAACAACTGGATTTATTTATTTACTTACTTAACTTATTTCAAATGTTTTTACTAGGCCTTTCTCCTTAAAAGGACCCCAATCATTTCGCCACGATTCTTTCTCTAGTTTTCTCTCGTTCGGCATTAAAAACGCCCTGTTAGTCACCACACTAGATTGCAATGACATGGTCCACTTTTTAATTTGTTCATACCTGGTTATTTATTATGTATGAAGCTCTGAAAAGGCTTGGAGAAGAGTTTCCATGGCCGTTTTGAAAACGCAAGGCCGACCCTGTTCTTGCAATCTAAATGCCACCTGCACACACCACACAAGAGGAAAGAGGGGAGTGGAGGGCAAAGGAAAACAAGCCACCCGAAGTGCAGGCGTGGGAAGGGAGGTGTTCCCTGTTCTGCTGGAATCCACGCCAGGTAGACGGTAGTTAGGGGAGAGGTGAAGCCCGAGAAAGCTGCCTTCCCAGGTACTTTTCTTCCGCTTCTTTTCCCCTCAGCTTGGTGGAATCGAAGGGCCTGGGCCAAGCTTGAGATGGGGGGGGGGCAGAAAACACCAGGCTTGCTGGAAGGCAGAGCAGGAAGGTTGAAAGATCAAACGGCAAGAACTGTGATAATCACGTTGCTGAAAAACCCTTGCCCTGATATCTCTGCACGGTATAGGGACGGCATGTTTGAGAAATAAAGGGATTAGCTCATCAAAGGCTTTGGAGGCAGCTGGAAGCTTTCCCTCCCTGGAAGAGCTTCCCGGACCGCATCTCGGCCCAGCCCCTTGCTCTGGGTTTTCGTCTTTCAAGCCTGCAGTGGGGCCAGCCCTACAAGTGGCATTCTGGGGGAGGGAAGAGCGATGGGAGCCACTGCTCCCTCACCGCTCAAAGAGGGCGCAGGACGCAGGCTGCCTCCAGAGAAAGGCGGCAGCTGCCCCCCACCCACCCGGACACGTCACCTATGCTGGCTCTGATCTTCTCCTAATTCAGGACGAATTTGAAAAAACAAAACAAAACGTAATCCTGAACAACCACCCAAGAAGGGTCTCCTCCAACCTGGTGACCTCTATGTGTCTTGAAACACAACCTTGGGAGTCAGGGTCCCTTTCAAAAGCAACTTTTTCAAGCCCTGTGAAAATCAACTTTTCCGGCTCTCAGCCAAAACAAGAGGCCTGTCAAGCCGCTCATAAGGCAATAGACACGTCACGAAAGGAAAAAAGCATGAGGAGGGCAGAGGAAAACAAGAGGGAGCGACTATAAAGTGGCCGGTGGTTGCTTTCGTTTTCTACACAATCCACCGTCTCTGCCTTGCCAGTGGTGGTCCTTCAGCCACAATGGGCACCACATCTGCACAGACGTTGTTGCCCTTTGGGGGGGGCTTCTATTCTTATCTCCCCACATTTTATACCACCTAAGCCTGAACGAGGCTGCCGTGGGGGTACACAAAGGCTCACCTTGTCTGTTCGTTTTTGGTGATCCAAAGAAGGCGTTCGCTCCTCTCTGACC